CCAGTAAGCAAAGAAGATCTAGCATGGGTTTCTATCAACTGACACAAAAAAAGATCTGAGAGAGGAGGGAAGGAAACAGACAAGGAAAGCGCCAACTCTGAGTTCTGAGTAGCCCAGTGTGATTTCGTGAGCAAAATGGAGCTGACATGTCTGGGTCTCTAGGCCAGGATGGATGCTTCTGGGTAAACTGTTTCTAAATAATCTAGGCCTCAACGTATCCTTGGAATCTCAGCAGCCACAGTGGCTCTGTGGTGTATGTGGATCTGGTCTGGTCACTCCCAAAGCAGCCCCGCTGTGCTGCTGAACTGGAGGAGGGAGATAAAGGCAACATTTGGCCCAGCCCTAAGTCCTCCGTGTACAATGAACACTCTGTGACTGCACTGCTTCTTACAAGTATTGTCCCAAGTGGCTCTTCAAAGACTCTGACATTGTTGAGTGATGTGTGTGTGTGTGTGTGTGTGTGTGTGTGTGTGTGTGTGTGTCCGTGCGTGTGGGTCCTGGGGCTTACCCAGGGCCCGAGTGCTTTCTCTGAGCTTTTTCTCTCAAGGCTAATGGTCTATCACTTGAGCCATAGCTCTACTTCTGACTTTTTGCTGGACAGTTGCAGATCAGAGTCCGATGGACTTTTCTGCCTGGGATAGCTTCTAAGTGTGATGCTCCAATCTCAGGCTCCTTGCAGCTAGGATTATAGGTGTGAGCCACTAGCAGCCTAGCTTTTTAGTTCTTAAAACTGAGCAACCCCATGTTCAGGGTTCCTTCTAGGTGGGAGATGGCTATGAAACCATAATATGGAAATGAATGTTTTCTTTAAAAAAATAAAGGAAGAGGAAAGAGTTGTCTGGGGAGGACCTTTGAGAGCTGGAAGGTATTTGAAAACTGGGAAGCTTGTCAGGCCATTGACTGTTTGGAATGGTGCCAGTCTTGGGACGGGGTCTTCCACCCAGAGCAGTTCAGGAGCTCAGGTAAAGACAACTCTTACTCGCGATGCCAAGGGATCCTGCGGTCTGACTCAATGAATAAATACAGGTCTCCATCCAGTTCCTGGGTGATGAGTTACGGACAGGGAGCATCTTATGTGTGCTCCTCCAAATCTGTCTTTCTTTCTTTGTATTTAACAAGAAGTGGGATTGACTGAGCTTCGGAACACCTGGGTAACATGCTTTCCAGCAGTGGCCATTCTGAGTTAAAAAAAAAAGTAATCATTTATTTCTTTACTCCCTATCTGCCTTTGAATGCCCTAGAACTTTTTTAGAAAAAATGTGGGTCACCAAATCTAGGAGCAAGAAATGCTTCAGAACTACCCAAGGAAACAAAGATAATAAAAAGAGTTGGGAAGGGCCTGGGAAGGTGGCTCAGTGGTAGAGGGCTTGCCTTGCATGCATGAGGCCCTGGGTTCGATTCCTCAGCACCACATAAGCAGAAAAAAAAAAGCCGGAAGTGGTGCTGTGGCTCAAGTGGTAGAGCGCTAGCCTTGAGCTGAAGAGCTGAGGGACAGTGCCCAGGCCCAGAGTTCAGGTCCCATGATTCCCCGCCCCCCCCCAAAAAAAAAGAGCTGAGAGGGGGCTGGGCACATTCTGACTTAAATCTACCAAGAGCCATGGCAGCTGTGTGTGCCGTAAGTCGATTAATTAGAGTGGTTGGAGCCGGGTGAAGGGTGTAGACATGCTCTTTAACTTGAAAATCTATGACTTCATAGGATGTGGCTCTTCATTTGTGTTATTAGCCCTTGTGTCTAAAAAGGACTTTCATTTATCTTCTTATTACTTATTTATTCTGCCTTGCTCCCCCAAAAAGCGAGGAGCAGCCTAAACATGCTTCTGGTCCGTCCTTCGGTGAGCCCTCTGAGGTACGGCATTCAGTTTCCCAAGCACATTGCCGGGTAGGACATGGTGCACCTGGAAGCCCAGAAGTGAGCACCATGGGGGTTCCAGGACCTTTGAGGCAAAATAGGGAAGAACCATCATTTCTGTATGAAGGACCAAACTGCCCGTTATGATGACAGGACTGCTTGATATCTCGCAGAAAGTAAACAGCCTTCACCAGGCACCTGGTGGCTCATGTCTGCAATCCTAACTACTCAGGAGGTTGAGATCTAAGGATTGTGGTTCCAAGTCAGCCCATATAAGAAAGTCCATGAGATTTGTATAGTCATTAACCACCCAAAAAGCTGGAAGTGGGGCTGTGGCTTACGTGGTAGAGGGCTAGCCTTGAGCAAAATGCTTAGGGATAGTGCCCAGGCCCTGAGCTCAACAAACCCCAGTATAAGAAGGAAGGGAGGGAGGGAGGGAAGGAAGGAAGGAAGGAAGGAAGGAAGGAAGGAAGGAAGGAAGGAAGGAAGGAAGGAAGAAAGGAAGGAAGGAAGGAAAAAATTGCCTTAGATTTCCTTGAGATTTTCTGCCCTTTACTTACTGTCTTCCCATGCCACTCATTATACAGATGGCAGTGATGTGTAAAATAAATAATCTTGGGCTTGTAAAAGCATATCTAGGTGTCCAGTCCTCTTGGCTCTGTGGTCCAGGTGAATCTCTGCCCTATTCCCTATTCACCTTTGGGTGAAATAATGTACATGGGGTATCTGAGCAGTCCTGGCCCTGTTGAAGCTGACAAGGCAAACCTGAGAGAGGTATACTCTGTAGACTGCAGCAGGGGATGGAATTGGGAGAGCATGATTCCTGGGTCATGTGATTTTTAAAGCAGGTGACAAAGGACCACTAATGTGGCTGCAAACATCACAAAAGGTGAAGCCCTTCTCAATGGGTGGAGAAAAGACACTTTCTGCTTGGGATTGCACAAGTCCTTTATGTTCTTCTTACCTTTTTGTGCTTCTACTTGGACTTGAACTCAGGGCCTCAAGCTCCTGCTTGATTTTTCTGCTCAAGGCTGGTGTTCTACCACTTGAGCCATACCTTCACTTCTGGCTTTTTACAGGTTAATTGGAGACAAGAGTATCATGGACTTTCCTGCCTGGGCTGGCTTTGAACCCAAATCCTCAGATGTCAGCCTCCTGAGTAGCTAGGATCACAAGTGTGAGCCACCCATGCCTAGCCTTGCAGAAGTACTTTAAACAGGCTGACTGAGCAGCTAGGATGTGGAACAGCTGTATCCATGTCTCCACAGTCCCTTACTGATTGTAATGGGGTACCATGACAGTGTGCATGTTTGGCCTCATCCAAGACTACTAACAACTATTAACAATGTTCATGTCCGCCTTAAAATCTTCCAGATACAGGCAAGTTTGAGAAAACAGAAGGTTTTTTTTTTCCCCCCCAAGATTGCAGCTTGCACAGCCGTGCCGGGTCTGGTCTGGGTTCCTGTTCCTATTGTAGCTGATGACACAAGGCAGGGCCTGTCCTCGCCTGTCACTCTTGGGTAAAGCATTAGGACGGCTCTGGCTGGCAGGGCAGTGGCCTCGCCCCGAGGTTGAGGGCAGCTGCCAGACAGCTTGAGATGAAAGGTTCGGCCTCTGTTTTGTGACTGCCCCAATGATGGACAACGACCGTGACATTTTGGCTCCGTGCCACCAATGTCCGCTGTAATTTGCTACTGATGTCACTAGTGCCAGTTGCTGACAAATCAGGGCTTTCAGTCGTTCATCTTGACTGTACTGCTGCATTTGGCCACTGTCCTTCATTGATTTGTATTCCAGACTTCGAGGCTCTCCTTTAGCTAATGTATCCCACCTGGTTGGAAGTCTGTAGGATCAGTTTCCACACCATGGGGGGACATGTATGAAGACACATGCAACATGTTAAATTTCTTGGGTCGTGTATCAACATTCTGGAGGTGTGGTGTATGAAACTTTACTTTCCTGTAGTGAAACTCTCAAATACAGAGGTATCACCGGATTTCTCTAAAAGAAAAATGGAGCCAGGTGTCCTTGGCTCATGCTTATCATCCTAGCTGCTCAGGAGGCTGAGATCTGAGGATCATGGTTTGAAGTCAGCCCAGGCAGGTAAGGTGTGACACCTTTTATCTCCAGTTAGCCAGCAAAAAACTGGAAGTGGAGTTGTGGCTCCAGTAGTTGAGCTCCAGCCTTGAGTGCAAAAGCTAAGGGACGGCGACCAGGCCTTGAGTTCAAGCTCCAGCTGTAGCGTGCACTCACGCACACGTGCACGCACACACATACATTTACATCATCTCATGAGTTTTTTTTTTAAAGAAAAAATCCACAATGCTTGTAAGCAAATGCAGCTGTGTATGTGTGTGTGTATATCTGTGTACTGGTACTGAGCTTGAACTCAAGGTTTCACACTCTGTCTCAGCTTTTCTGTTCGAGGTTGATGCTCTACCATTTGAGCTATACTTCCACTTCTGACTTTTTTGGTGGTTAATTGGAGATAGGAGTCTTTCAGATTTGTCTGCCCACGCTGGCTTTGAAGGTGATCCTTAGACCTCAGCCTCCTGCTTATCTGGGATTACAGGCGTGAGCCACCTGTGCCAGGCTAGGACAATAGGACTTGATTTGGGTATTTGTGGAACACCCTTATATCAAGTATGGTCCAGAAACACTGATCCCAAAGGGAGGGGAGGGGAGGAGGATGGTGATTTTGTCCCACCCCCCTCAACACTGGAAGTCAGGATGTCCTAGAGTCTACAATGCCGGGGACAGCCATCCACACACCAGCACAAATGATGGGAACTTTAAACAGCAACAGTGCCTTGTTTGAGGAACCCGGTCTGGGCCTGCTAGAGTGTGAAAGGCGCCCTATGTGGATGAAGTCTGCCCTGATTATGTTTTATGGAGTCTCTACTTTTAATAACTCCTGGTACTAGGTGTGTGCGTGTGGGGGGAGAGGGTTGGTCAGGTCAGGTATTCTCAGCCACCTACCCTCCTGTCCCTCTGAGAGAGGAGGACCAGAACACCTTTAGGGGGGTGAAGCCAGGCCCCCAGGGGCCCCGTGTGACCCAGCCGGTGCCCTCTCTTTTCGCCCCCCCCCTTCCCCAATCGTCCTGCCCCTTCTCACACGGCCGTCTGCCTTTCTGTCCCTGTGTCTCCCCAGGTAAAGATGAGCCTTCCAGCTACATTTGCACAACCTGCAAGCAGCCCTTCAACAGCGCGTGGTTCCTGCTGCAGCACGCGCAGAACACGCACGGCTTCCGCATCTACCTGGAGCCGGGGCCGGCCAGCAGCTCGCTCACGCCGCGGCTCACCATCCCGCCGCCCCTGGGGCCCGAGGCCGTGGCCCAGTCCCCGCTCATGAATTTCCTGGGCGACAGCAACCCCTTCAACCTGCTGCGCATGACGGGCCCCATCCTGCGGGAGCACCCGGGCTTCGGGGAGGGCCGCCTGCCCGGCACGCCGCCCCTCTTCAGCCCGCCGCCGCGCCACCACCTGGACCCGCACCGCCTGAGCGCCGAGGAGATGGGGCTCGTCGCCCAGCACCCCAGTGCCTTCGACCGAGTCATGCGCCTCAACCCCATGGCCATGGACTCGCCGGCCATGGACTTCTCCAGGCGGCTCCGCGAGCTGGCCGGCAACAGCTCCACGCCGCCGCCCGTGTCGCCGGGCCGCGGCAACCCTATGCACCGGCTCCTGAACCCCTTCCAGCCCAGCCCCAAGTCCCCGTTCCTGAGCACGCCGCCGCTGCCCGCCATGCCCCCGGGCGCCGGCACGCCGCCGCCGCAGCCGCCCGCCAAGAGCAAGTCGTGCGAGTTCTGCGGCAAGACGTTCAAGTTCCAGAGCAACCTCATCGTGCACCGGCGCAGCCACACGGGCGAGAAGCCCTACAAGTGCCAGCTGTGCGACCACGCGTGCTCGCAGGCCAGCAAGCTCAAGCGCCACATGAAGACGCACATGCACAAGGCCGGCTCGCTGGCCGGCCGCTCGGACGACGGGCTGTCGGCCGCCAGCTCCCCGGAGCCGGGCACCAGCGAGCTGGCGGCCGAGGGCCTCAAGGCGGCCGACGGCGACTTCCGCCACCACCACCACCACCCGCACGAGAGCGACCCGTCGCTGGGCGCCGAGCCCGAGGAGGAGGACGAGGAGGAGGACGAGGAGGAGGAGGAGCTGCTGCTGGAGAACGAGAGCCGCCCCGAGTCCAGCTTCAGCATGGACTCGGAGCTGAGCCGCAACCGGGAGAACGGCGGCGGCGGCGGCGGCGTGGTCGGCGGGGGTGGCGGCGGCGGCGTGGCCGGGGTGCCCGGGGGCGCGGGCGGCGTCGGGGCGGCGGTGAAGGCGCTGGCTGACGAGAAGGCGCTGGTGCTGGGCAAGGTCATGGAGAACGTGGGGCTGGGCGCGCTGCCGCCCTACGGCGACCTGCTGGCGGCCGACAAGCAGAAGCGCGGCGCCTTCCTGAAGCGCACGGCGGGCGGCGGCGGCGGGGACGCGGGCGACGACGACGACCTGGATGACGACGGCGCGGGCGGCTGCGGCGCGGTGGGCGACGCGGGCGCGGCGGGCAGCGTGGTGGGCGGCGGCGCGGTGAACGGGCGCGGCGGGGGCGGCGGCGGCCTGGGCGGCTTCGGGCCCGGCGCCGACCCCTTCCCCGGGCTCTTCCCGCGCAAGCCCGCGCCGCTGCCCAGCCCCGGGCTCAACAGCGCGGCCAAGCGCATCAAGGTGGAGAAGGACCTGGAGCTGCCGCCCGCCGCGCTCATCCCGTCCGAGAACGTGTACTCGCAGTGGCTGGTGGGCTACGCGGCCTCGCGGCACTTCATGAAGGACCCCTTCCTGGGCTTCACGGACGCGCGCCAGTCGCCCTTCGCCACGTCGTCCGAGCACTCGTCGGAGAACGGCAGCCTGCGCTTCTCCACGCCGCCCGGGGACCTGCTGGACGGCGGGCTGTCCGGGCGCAGCGGGACGGCCAGCGGGGGCAGCACGCCGCACCTGGGCGGGCCCGGGCCCGGCCGGCCCAGCTCCAAGGAGGGCCGGCGCAGCGACACGTGCGAGTACTGCGGCAAGGTGTTCAAGAACTGCAGCAACCTCACGGTGCACCGGCGGAGCCACACCGGCGAGCGGCCTTACAAGTGCGAGCTGTGCAACTACGCGTGCGCGCAGAGCAGCAAGCTCACGCGCCACATGAAGACGCACGGGCAGATCGGCAAGGAGGTGTACCGCTGCGACATCTGCCAGATGCCCTTCAGCGTCTACAGCACCCTGGAGAAACACATGAAGAAGTGGCACGGCGAGCACTTGCTGACGAACGACGTCAAAATCGAGCAGGCCGAGAGGAGCTGAGCGCGCGAGGGCGCGCGCGCACACACACACCAGCGCGCATGCCCGCACGCCAGCACACACGCCAGCGCGCATGCGCGCAGGGGGGGCGGTGGTCTCCTCCCACATCCCCCTGTCCACCCCACACCCCATTTCCCCCTCACACCTCCAGGCTTCCCGCACCTGTACAGTGGAACCATTGCCAACCGAGAGAATGCTGACCTGAATCGCCCCACCCCGCGTCACCGCCGCTGATCGCCCCTGCTGCGTCACCCCCACCCCGGGGATGGTGGTGAGGGTTTGGGGGGGTCACCCCCAAGAAGGCGGTGGCACTCCAACCTAACCTGTGTCTGCGAAGTCCTATGGAAACCCGAAGCCTGATGAAGGCTGTTTAAAAAAAAAGAAAAAAAAAAAGAAAAAAAAATTGTGGAGCCTTTTAACTGTGCAATAATTTCTGTATTTATTGGGTTTTTGTAAGTTTTTGGGCATGTGCAGGTACTTTTCTTTTTACTTCTTCTTCTTTCTGTTTAAATTCCTTTCAAAAGATTTTGTTGGGTATCCATCCTTTCTTCATTTCACAAAACCACAAAAACAAAAAACCCACAAAAAAAAAAATCTCCACCCAGTAGTCTGAACAAGGACTCAAAAGCAATGTAGAGGGAAACCTATCTTTTAAATTATAATTTTTTGTGTGGGGGGGCCGCTGCTTTTTTGAAACTTAAGCTAAGCATGTGTAATTTCTTGTGAAGAAGCCAACACTTAAATGACTTTTAAAGTTGTTTACTTTTTTTTTTTTAAATTCCTTCCTTGATGATTTTTGTTTTGAAATTTAAAAAGTGGCATGTGTTTGGGGAGGGGGGACTTTTTTTTAAGTTTGTTTTTATTGGGGAGGGGGTGGATGTACAGCGGATAACAATCTTTACAATCGTAGCACTTTGTGTCCGAAGCGGAATGGAGATGTAGCACTGAGCGGGGGGCCCTGGTCCCCGAGGCCTTTTTCTGTATTGACTTCAAGTTATAGAAGGGAAACCTGGGAGTGGGGGGTGAGCTAGGGAAGGGACCCCCCCCCCCCCAACTAACTAACTCAGTATCCAGAGAGAAGCCCAGCTTCCAGGCTGCCCCCAAAAGGGCCCTGGATGGAACATGGCGCCACTCCTGGTAGTTACCAGCAGGTCCTCACCCGGTCCCTGGGCCTGGGCTGGGCCCCGGGGAGATGCGCTCGGCCCTCTGCTGTGGAATCGGCTGCGTGGAACGGGCCGGGCCGATGGGTGGTCCGTGGCCCGCAGTGACACAGAAAGGAAGAAACCGGTGGACTTGGCGCAGGCGTCCTCTGACTTGACAGCTCCAGGCCCAGGTTCGTGTTGCTCCAAGCGGTACTCGATCCCGGAGCGGACGCGCCCAGCGCCCTGATGGTGGATCCCGACGGCACGACCGGGCAGGACGGGGCGCCTGCCTCCTCCTGTTCCCCTCTTCCTAGCCAGCAGGGGAAGACCCCAGCCGAAGGGGCCCAGCGCTACTTCCCCCTTTGTTTTTGTTTTTGTGTTTCATCTCCGATTAGGTTGGAAGGGACGAAACATTGGATCATTCAGATTAGACATTTAATTCTGTTGACCCGCACTTTAAAGCTTTTGTTTGCATTTAAATTAAATGGCTTCTAAACAAGAAATTGCAGCATATTCTTTCTCTTTGGCCCAGAGGTGGGTTCAACTGCAAGGGACAGCTGAGATTGAGTGTCAGTGTTGCTAAGCGTGGCATTCACAATGCTGGCACTATAAAAAAAAAGTAAAATGATAATTTATTGGACAGTTTTTCTACTGCCATTCAATTTGACATGAGTGCCTTGAAAACTGATCTTCCTATTTGAGTCTCTTGAGACAAATGCAAAACTTGTTTTTCTTTTTTCCCTTTTTTTTTTTTTTTGTGGAAATGAAAGACTTTTTAAAAAAAATAATACAAGAAAAATACATTCTTTAGAAACAAAGCCACCTTTAATTAAAAATAATTTTTAAAAATTCCTGGTTGAAGATAGAGGACTTGTAAATGCCATGAGACCCAATCAAATGAAGAAACAAACCCAACACAACCGTGGACATCCGATAGCTGGACTTTCCTCAGCCCCTTTTGTTTTGGGACAACGCTGCTTAGGTGTGGAGTGGAGGTGATTTTTACTGCTGATTTAAAACTCAAGTGACACATGTTGATATTGTTGAATGAAAAAAACCATTCAGGAACAACGGCTAATTTTTTTCTAAAGTTAAATTTAGTGCACTCTGTCTTAAAAATACGTTTACAGTATTGGATACATACAAGGGTAAAAAAATAATTGTGTGTATGTGTGTTGGAGCGATAATTTTTTTTCAAAGTTTGCTTCATAGGTTATTAAAAAAATGCCGCAATGGCTGCGTGTATATTGTTTTCTTTTGGTGATGGGGTTTTAGTATATATTATATATATTAAAATTTCTTGATTACTGTAAAAGTGGACCAGTATTTGTAATAATCGAGAATGCCTGGGCATTTTACAAAACAAGAAAAAAAAACACACCTTTTCTTTTCCTTGAAAAATGTTGCAGTACAATTTAAATGGTGGGTCTATAAATTTGTTCTTGTCACAGTAACTGTAAAGTCGGAGTTTTAGTACATTTTTTTCCTGCCTTGGGTGTTGAATTTTTATTTCAAAAAAAATGTATAGAAACTTGTATTTGGGGATTAAAAGGGGATTGCTACACCATGTAGAAAAAGTATGTAGAAAAAAAGTGCTTAATATTGTTATTGCTTTGCAGAAAAAAAATCACATTTCTGACCTGTACTTATTTTTCTCCCCCACCTCCCTAAGGAGTGGATATTTTGGTTGGTTCACATGATGTAGGCACTTGCTGTATTTTTACTGGAGCTTGTAATTTTTTAACTGTAAGCTTGTCCTTTTAAAAGGATTTAATGTACCTTTTTGTTAGTGAATTTGGAAATAAAAAGAAAAAAAAAACAAAAACAAACAGGCTGCCATAATATATTTTTTTAATTTGGCAGGATAAAATATTGCAAAAAAAAATTTGTATGTTAAGTCCTATTGTACAGGAAAAAAGAAAAAGGGGTTGTTTGACAACCTTTGAGAAAAAGAAACAAAAGGAAGTAGTTAAATGCTTTGTTTCACCAGTCATTTGAGTTGTATATATTTTTTTTGTCGGAATTGGCCTACACAAAGAACTGTTTGGAGTTGGGCTTCGGTTCATCAGAATGCCCTCAATCTTGTACCAGGGCTCCTTGGGGTAGCCACAGCAGACTGGATGAGAAATGCTTTATTTGTCTTCGTAGAAAAATCCTGTTTTGTAAAGATGTCAGCAACGTTCCACCAAGTCCCCCCTCCTTCCTCTAGGAGGCCAGGTGTCTATCAGATGAGGAGAAGCAAGTGACATCACTTCCCTTCTCTATGTTTGCTCCGGCAGTGGTCATTGGCTCCTCACCTTGGAGCACAGGGAGTGACTCCAGCTAGCTGAGTTAGTGCTCTAGGAGATAAAGCTGGAGACCAGGGTGGGGCGTGGGATCTGGGAAGGAGACTCTCAACCAGGCAACTGGCACCTTCCTTCCATGGAGAGTGTTGGCCTGTTTTCTTCTCTGCTTTGCTGCTTCTCTCTGAAACCTCCATTCAGTCAGTTACCGAATGACAAGGGCCTGGGATGAATGAATTTGGTGCCTTCCCTCTCTCTTTCCTCTTTCCCCCCTGTCCTCCAGCCTCTGTGGGTCAGTCCCTTATCTGTGCATTTCATCTTTATTTCATTTCATCTCTCTCGCCTTTTCTGTCCTTCCGAATCATACTTTTTATTTTTTATTTTTGGTAAAGCCAAGAAGCTTTAAGATTCTATATCAGGAAGCCCCCCACCCCCACCTTTTAATTTTTTTTAATTTCAGGAAATGTAAGGAACCATTATTTCAGGTTTTGGAAGTGTATATCCATGTATCCTTCTGGGAAGTTCCTTACTAAATGCAGAGATCTTTCCTCTGGGAGCTTGTCCACCATCTCCTGGCCACTTCCCTTTGCAAAGTGAGAAGGGATGGAGGGAGTGGAGAGCAAGCTCTTTTCCGCCTTTATGCCCCCAAGGCCCAGTGCTGCCCTGCCTTTCCTCTGCCCTGTTAGCTGCTCAGGGGCCTTTCTGTGGGCCTCCTGTGGTCTTCAACGCTAGCCAACTCTCTCACCAGCTTCCCACCAAGTCACCAGAATGCCAGGACTAAGCCATCCTAAAGCACAAGGATTGTGTGTCTCTCTCAACTTCTTTTAAACTCTCTTCGGAGTTTAAAACAAGAAACAAATGGAAAAAAAAAAAAACCCACCCTAAAGCAGGTGACCCAGCGAAAGGGCTCTAGCCTGGGCAGCCCAGCCCACCTCAGGCCGGGTTCCACACTGCCACAAACTTTGCCCAAAGTTGCCCCTCCCCCACTGGAACCTGCCATTTGCCATTGGGGGGGTCTTTGATGGGGAGAGAAGACAAGGATTACTTTAAGCAAAATGTGAAGTGAGGAAGTCAGCCTTTCATCCCGCCCTTCTGTCCAAAAGGTTTTGTTGAACACAGGCAAATCCGTGATTTTGGTGCTTTTTGTATCTCAGCCCTGCAAAGCAAAGTCCCATTGATTTCAGTTGTTTGCATTTGTACTGGCCAGGCGAAATATTTTTATTACCTTTTTCTATTATTGTATGAGCTTTTGTTGTTTACTTAGAGGTTTTGTCTTTTACTACAAGTTTGGAACTATTTATTATTGCTTGGTATTTGTGCTCTGTTTTAAAAACAGGCACTTTTTTTTTAAGTATGGATAAAATATTGAGATGACTAGAGGTCATTTCAATATGGCTTAGTAAAAAAAATATTTATTGTTCCTTTTATTCTCTGTACAAGATTTTGGGCCTCTTTTTTCCTTTAATGTCACAATGTTGAGTTGAGCATGTGTCTGCCATTTCATTTGTACGCTTGTTCAAAACCAAGTTTGTTCTGGTTTCAAGTTATAAAAATAAATTGGACATTTAACTTGATCTCCAAATCTCGTCCTTTTCTGTGTCTTTTCAAGGTGGGGAGTGGAAAGCTTATTTCAAGGGCAAATTGAAGGGCTTTCTCCATTTTTCTGCTGACCCAAACCCTTAAGCGCCTGTCCTGGAGGAGAGGAGATGTTGGTGGAACTGTGTTTTAGAACAGTTTCATGCTGGGTTTGTTCACACTGGGATCTCTGGGGGGCGGGGCGGGCGCTTTATAAACTCTGTACCCAGGCAGCGTTGGAACAGATTCTATCAGAATCTCTGCAGGTGGGTCCTGGGGCCAGCATTTTTGAAAGCGATCTAGAGGATTCTTCAATACAGTCAAGTAAGAACAGGTAGATCGAAAGAAAAGATACCAGATGGAGATGATAAGACTCAAGTCTGACCCATTCCACTGACATTTCCTGAACTCTCAGTGACCATCCAGGAACTAGAAACCAGGGAGAATGCTGCCCTGCCCTAGAAGTATCAGTAGCTCTGTGCACTTGGGGGCAGTGCCCTTGCCCTTGGTATTTGCATGTAAGAAAGGGGCTGCTGAGCAACCAATCAGCTGCTTGGACCACACGTGAGCTTTAGCAAACCATCCAGGACTCCCTTCTTTTCCCTTGTGCTGGACATTAGCAAACAAAGTTGGACATTTGAAGTCAGGAGCAGGGGGAAGTGGATAATCAAAGTCAGGCCTTGCAGAACAAAATTTCCGTTATTTAAGTTGGTCCTTCTACTCCTGGGTGTAGATATAACCAGATGGGAAGGAAGGTACCTCTGGTTTTCTCTGTATGGGTAAGAGCCAGAGCTCACCTAAATGCAAAGGGATGGACCCTTGGTCTGTTGTTGATCATTTTCTTCCTCTATTTCCCTACTCTTAGAAAGACAATGAGCCTTCCACTCAAACCACTCCTGCAAACTCTCATGGGCATTGTTCATCAACCAGGTACCAAGCTAGAAGCCCAAGAGTCACAAGGAAACCCCAGAGAATGGATGTACTAAGTCATGCTCACTAGGGTGCTCTGTAGGTTTTGCCCGTAATAGGAGAAACCAGAATAGGATGTTCCTCTGTGTCCAGTGACCATTGTCCTGAGGTCAAGTCTCACCACAGAGTGACAAGAGGGCTTTACACTGTGGCACACTTCTGCAAATGGTATGAAGAGACATAACACTAATGAATGCTTGGCCTCCACAGGTATTGTTCGTATTTGGGGATCATCCATGGGGCTAAGGAAAGGGTCCGTCCAGTACTCATCAGTATCATTGGTAACTAGCTTCATGATCTTAGGTCTATCCCTTCCCTTCTCTCAGCCTCAGTTTCCCCATCTGTAAAATGAAAGGAGAACAACCATTCTTTCAGTCAGATGGACAGAATGCTATCTACACAGGGAGGAGGAAGATGAAGAGGATTGAATGATGAGTGAGGATTCACCAGGAAGGTGAGGTACAAATGAGGGAGAAAATCATGTGTCTTGCAGAGGGGATGATGTGGGAAAACTTGTGCAAATTGGAAGCGACCAAATGAAGCCTACAGAGAACCAGAGTCCCAGAGTTGACAGATGTTTCCAAGTCATTTAGTACAACCCTATCTCACATAGGAATCCTCTCTCAAGCACTGAAGTTCAGTATATACAGCCACTTAATTATGCATTTATTTTTTTCCTTTTTCTTTATTTTATTGTGAAAATACTGTACAGAGGGGTTACAATTACATTTCTTATCAAGCATTGTAGCCTCCTCCTTTGTTTCCCCTTCCCATCCCTTCCCATCCTCCCCCTAATTATGTATTTATACATGCATGCATCCACCCCTCCATCCACCCATCCTTCCATCCATTCATTCATTCATTTATCCATCCCCTACTACCCATCATCCATGCATTTATCCATTCACTCACCAATCTATCATCCATTCACCATCCATCCATCTATCTATCCATTCATCCACTAATCCATCCATCCATCATCCATCTACCCACCAATCCATCCATCCACCAATCCATCCATCCTTCATCCATCTACCCACCAATCCATCCATCCACCATCCAGCCATCCATACCATCCATCCATCATCCATCCATCCATCTGCCAATCCATCCATTTATCCTTCTCCCAATCCATCCATCCATTCACCAGTCCATCCATCTGCCTACCCACAAGTTAATTTAGTAAACATTTATCAAAAGTTCATGCTGTTGCTGGGTCATGGTGGCTCATGCCTGTAATTATAGCTACTCAGGAGGCTGAGATCTGAGGATTGGCATTCAGAGCCAGCCTGGGCAGGAAAGTCTGTGAGACTCTTATCTCCAATAAACTACTCAGAAAACCGGAAGTGACACAGTGGCTCAAGTGGTAGAGTGCTAGCCTTGAGCTGAAGAGCTGAGAGACAGCTTTTCAGAGGACAGGATTGGAGAGCCACTTATCCATTCAGTCATTCTTTCCCTTCACTCTCTGGAGTTCTTACTGGATGCTCCATACTTGCAGACCTGGGGATATAGCCTCTGCCCTGGAGTCAGTCCCTCTTAGCTGGAAAGGAAA